GAAATGATTCAAAATAAATAAGTTGTATGAACAAGTTTTTGATTAGATATTTATGTTAACAAAAGTGCTATGCAGTTTAAATTGCTTTTTCATATAATTATTTATTTTTTTATTCTCTATAATATGTAATTGTTGTATTAGACAAATCTGAATCTTGCTGTGTTTTGAATGAAATCATTATATTTATATATATCTTCTAATTTTATTTGTGTCTTTGTCTGCTGTTGGCATTATTAACTATATTTAATCAACAATACCAATTCTTTCAAATTATTAATAAATGCTAATCAGACAAGCAATCGGATATTTATATACAATAACATTATATTATACAAATATAAATAATATTAATCACGTTTTGGGATTCAACAACTATTTTCTCACAAGAACGAAATAGTGCGTTCGCAAAAATGAACAAAATAATGTTTAATACACAATTTATTTATTTTAGTTTAATTTATACAAAAAAATTTTTATTGTGTAATCACTTTGTTGTCGAAAACTACAACAACAACGAATTAGGTCCCTGGTTTTTGAATTGTCTACATCAGTAGCCGGTATACGAAACAATGACACGCGCGGCTGACCCCGCCCGGTCTTTAACTTCGAAGTGACCGATCGAAGCACTTGGCCGATGCTATAAATACACATCGGGTGCTCACGAGCGCTAGATAAATCACCGAACTTGAGGAGCGTCTCTTGGCTCTTGGGGTATGCGATCGCTGCACGATCGCGGTTGCGTGACTCGCCGGCTCCCTGACCTTTAGAATTTCTTTCACGAATCCTATTTGCACTCAATGACGTTGCAGTCGCCGAAATAAGCCCGCGGTGGGTCGTGAAATATTGCTTCGTTACGCTAATTTCGTATCCTCCTCTGTTTTATACTGGTGCATGTCGATTGCACATTTCTCTCCGCACTAAAGACACACCGGATTAACTTTCTCAAATATAAATTTCGGCAGCGAGTAGTTGACCGGTTTTGCCCATTTGATTTTGGGTTTATGGCAAGATGATTGCACAGCTTATTTTAGAATTGGATGAAAAGGTGCAATTGGATTGCGCGATATAGTTAACTCAGATTAAATTTCAGGCTTTAATCTCCACATATTTCGTTTCCACGGTTATCTTTTTGGATCATTGGATTTATTCAAGATTGGTTCTCAGTGAGCCATTCGTTTTCGCGGTTATATTTACGAAACACTAGACATAATTGGTAAGATTATTGAAGAAGCGAACGACAGTTACATGTTCTAATTGAGTTCAATGAAAAATCCGATACAGAAAAATTGAGACAAAATTTGTAACATTGTAACATTTTAGAAACAGATGAGTTTATCAATTAAACGCAAATGCAATTTCAGCAATAGTGCTGAAATAATCTGAAGGAATTACAAAAATGAAACAAGAACCTGATTTTTCGGAGTAAATTAAATTTTCCAAAATAGCAATAACTCTAAACTACAAAATTGCACATTTGTAGTTTTGTCGACGATATAATTTTATACAAATCTTTCATTTTAGGAATAATATTTGTTTTACAGTTTTAGCATTTGGAATATAAAAATATTTCAATTCTTTATTGCCTTAATTTAAAAGTTAGTTAAAAATAAAACCTGCGTGTCAATTAATCAATCGATACGTATTGTATTGTAGAAGAATAGTGTTCAAGGAAAAACGCAAATACGGGTTTGGTGCGCGAATTTCTTTTGTTGACCGCTATGAGCTGACGTAGTGCGTCGTGTCGACGCTACGATATCACTGTTGGGGCGACTTGTCGGAGTACATGGTAAACTTTTACTACTGACAGAAACGGAGCCTGTCTCACCGATGAAACGCTCGCTCCACTGATACGTGAGTTTGACTCGTGAGTGGCTCGTACTACTTGCTGATGCGAGATTCGGTTAGCTAGCCTCTGCTTGTTCAGTCGAAAGTAATATTGTCGACAAAAATACATTGTCGAATCTTTCCACCAACTTTGTACTGCGCGCATTGCACAGATTTCTATAAACAGAATATTGTATTTAAAGGAAAAACATTAATTTTGTTTTTAATATTTTGTATATACAAATTAATTACATATGCAAATTTTTTATAGCAAAGTAATCTAGGACTGATAAAAAAATACAAAAATAGAAAAACGAAGTTTATGAAAGTTTGTACATTAACACGAAAATATAATGACGTTATATTATACAAATCTGTGAACCTAAAATGATTGCAATCAAGTGAAGAGTAGGAAGCTCGTGCGGTGCATTGCGATCTATCAGCACTTCTGCACTCAACTAATCAAACAATTACGATCTAGCAATTAAACTTAGTTAATATCGCCAATATTAGTTCAATCGCGTTTAACGAACGCAACCGAATTACAATTGTGTGCCGTGCACGTCTTACATTACTAATGAAAAGCAGAGAGCATCATGATTAGCATTAGAGACTTGTATGCAGTTGCATCGCACACCGATCACTCGTGATATGATTTCACTATATTCGAGAGATACTGTATATTTATTTAAACGTATATGAAATAGTTATTTTTTTAGAAGTCTAGCATAAAATCATAAATAATTTTACAATTGTACAAATTTTTTTACATAATATTTAATAATTTTTTTAAAATATATCAATAAATAAGGAATTCCGTAAGAACAAAATTATCGCTCAAAAACAAATAATTCATCTAAAGCACAGTTCACAGATTAATTCAACACTCGATCGAAAGAGCAAGAGCAAAATAAAAACTAGGACGCGCAGTCGAAAAAGTTGCACCGGGATTTCGGATGCCAATTTTGTAGCCGCAGGATGGAAAGTTGTCGATAGCCAAATCTGCAGCAAAATAATGCATTGCGCGCGTATCTAACTCTGATTAATTTCGACTATGCTGACTTTCTTCTGATTGACGCTAACAATGGCATTTAATTAAATTTATTTGTACAAAGGTATTCTATCTTGTGTAATACTGGCTGCATTGAAAACCAATTCCAAAAGATATAAAAAAAAGATCTCCATTTTTGCTATGCATTTAGTGCTTAATGCAGTTATTTGATTTTTATTTCATGTTTAGCATCATTCTTCTGTTAGATCAATTAGAAGCTTAAATTAAATTAAACAATCACGTTTAAAGTTAAAAATATACGGATTGAAGAATATAGGTCAGAGATTTTTTCAATTTTTGAAAAAAAAGTCTATCTTTCTTAAGGAGAACAATTATTTGAGAAATAGCTAATGGTATGCCTGCATGACATAAATATTATAAACCATGACATGAGTATTATAAGTCACTTCTTTTAATTAATTTTCTAAAACAAATTTTAAACTTCTGAGATAATGTAAAATCTAGGTCACCTTTCATATAGAACTCTGTAATTTTAATAAAATGTTAATTATGATAAGAGACATGTAGTACAAAAATAATACTTTTATATAAAATTTATTGATTTAATTTTTTGTCGTTATATTGAATTCTATGTCAATTATTTGAATTTGTTGTAATTTAATCAATAAAAGTATTGATTAAATTATGTCAAATTTTATAACTCTTTGAAATAAAGAGCTGTACTGATTTTTGTAATATAAAAATGTGACAAAGTCGACCCAATTTTGTTGTCATTTATTCTTATCGAATAAAATAATTTAATAATATACACTTTAATATTACAATAATACTTGGAATGTAATATTTAATAGAAGATATTGGCGTTTTTTTGTCATACTATATTAAAATACGTGCAATCTTCTGCAATCTTCTTTATACATTTATGATAATTGTCCTCTGTTCTTATTAATCTTTATGGAAATACTTCTTTTCGGTTATCATCGACATTGTCCGTTCTGTGAAGTACCGATGTTGTTCGCAGAAAGTATCGAATAGTCATCGATGTTTGCGGTATTCGATGTCGGACAAGTAAGGTATCAATACCCTGTTATATTTAAACATCCCCAGTCCAGTTACAAGCGCCGACTGTAGTGTAGCCTGCCGCGCCGGCGGGCACTTCCGCGTAACCGACCTCGACAAGCCGGGGCGAAACGAGGTCAGGAACGGCGCACACGACGCCGAACGAGGGTCGCGCGTTCGCCTCGCGGCCCATCGGCGCGGTGCGGCGCGACGGCAGCCTAGCTGCTGCCAGCCGGGGGTAGTTCGCCCGCTCGGAGCCGCTCGGCTCGATTCGACGACGCCGCGCGGGGACACCCTCTCGCGGCACTCTACCTGCACACCTGCAACGCGCGACCACACACACCTGTACACATACCTATGGGGTGTCCTAGTTTTATTCTTTCTCATCTTAAATCGCGAATTCTTGAACAATTGCTTGAATTGACAAATCTTCGAGAATTTTTCGATCTGAAATACGGTGATAAATCCGCATAATTTCACTTTATCGATTATTTAACTCATATTTGCAATTAGATATGAGTTTCTTTATTATTTTTACACTATTATATATTATTAATGTTTTGGTAAAATTTAAAAAAAGTTGGCAAAGTGCTGATCATTAAGTGTGTGTCGAGACACTTGTCGTTTAAGTCTTAAATCTTTCCATCATGAAACGTAAAATGAAATTTCTTTCACGTTTATTGATTTAGATGTAACTAGAAAATAATATTTTATAAATTATTGCAAGTGTCATTCTCAGAGACTACAAGTTTTGGAAATATTTTTGAAAGCAGAATTCTCAATTCTTAATTTCTAGTTTATCAAGTGCTCTTTTCGCCGTCTTTAATGCACCCCAACTGTTTATATTAAACTTTTTTGAATATTAACAATGTCACAACATTGAATTATCAGCACGTAACCTACTTCCCGCTATGTGCGGCTAGAGGGTAGATCCGCGACACCCCGTATACATACGGGCGAGCGAGCCAGCGGCAGTTCGTGCGCAGGAGCTATCGCGTGTCGACGAGCAGAGGGTACGAAGGGGTTGGCGGGGAAGGGCGTCCTTACGGCGGCTCTCGCTCGTACGACGAGCGGCCTCAACGTCATTGGGCGTCGGGACGCCGCCACGACGCCGCGCTCTCGGCTTCGAAACGCGAAAGCGCGATCGCGAAGTGCCGCGACACGAGGACGGGATCCTTTTTAGGATCCCTCGAGCGAATATCCGTTTACGAGCTTTCGGAAATCGCATGCAAACGCTTCCTCGAGCACGCATCTGAGAAAGCGAAACCGAAACGCGTGAAGGAAGATCGTAACGTCGTTCCAAAATTGGCATTACTTGATTTCTCGGGGACAAAATCGAAATCATGCGGAAAAATGATAGTCGTTATTGTAAATTGTCGAACTAGGTGTCCCTGAATGTGACGGCAATTACGAGAATCTGTTATTGCGCGAGAAAGATCTGTTGAAGGTGACTCGATTTTTCAGAAGATCCCTGAGATTTAACGGATTGATTATTAGTGTGTGTGCGCGTGTGTTACAATTTGACAACAAGGCTGAATGAGAATACCGCGTGAATTTCGGTACCTCAAAGAACATCTTCAAGATCTTTGGTTCTCGAGAGAAGCATTTTTTTACAGTTTCGATATTCTTCCAATCAAAGCCGTGTGTTGCTCAAAAGATCCTCGCTACTCTTGGGGAATTCGTAGATCCTGAATCTTGAAGGGTAAAAGGATTCAGTGTAGTGGATAGAATAGTGGAATATTTTTCGGAAGTGTCCTCAACTTGACGCGCAAAGATGCTCCAAGTGCTGTAGATCTCAAATTTGTAAGAGAGATCCTCAAAAATTGGCGAACGAGAAGCGTCTTAATAAAAAGTGCTGGACAACATTTTTGCAAAGTGTTTACCCTTTGATCTATTTAACGCCTCGCTAGAAAAAAAATCCATAGCATTGTTAAAACAATTTATGAATTCTAAATCTACAAAAAAGGCGTTTCCTCATCATAAAAAAACTTGCTAAATACTTTAGCGAAGCAATACGTTTTGATTTTTCCACTGTGTACATAATCTTGGCGCCTTCCAAAAATCGTGATACTGCGAGGATGATCTATAGATTCTAAATCTACGAGCAAGTAAGATTATTGACAGTAGAAAATCTGATACGATGAGAACTGTAGCGAAGTGTAAATCCTTCCATTTTGTATCTATTACACGGTGTACTAAAAAAAAAATATCTTTAGCATCAGTCAGTCGATACTTTGCTAGAAATTAAAATCGTGAGATTTTGGTTTATCGAACCTGCGAGAGAAGAAGGATCTCTCGTGGAGTCTCAATGAACACTTTCATGAAGTATCCGAGTCCTGCAACTTCACCTTCGACTAACTTGCTCAAGGGATCACTACTTGGTCAAGGATTAGTTGCGGATCCCAATAGTCGAATAGGGAAAGGAGCAGCTCCCAAATAGCTAAGAGACATCTTGAAACGGTGATTGCAACATTGAGGGCGCAGACAAGTCCCCACTCGCCGTGCCATCAATTCCGCAGACGGATCGCTCTTCCGTTTGCGGGAGTTGGTCCTACGAGTGTAGGATTCGAGTGTGTATGTGTGATGACGATGAGGATCGCGCCGCGGGGATCACCGAGGTGACTCGCGGCGGCTCTTGGGGGACCGAGCGGCGGCACCGCGGCTCGCAGGATGCTGCGGACGAGGAAAGCGGAAGGAAGATTTCGCGCTGTAGAATCGGCCCCGGCCGACTGGTAGGACCGATGACAGGGCATGGCGGTCTAAGGGCGCGCGTCATGCCACGCGTCGCCGGGACGCTCGCGTCGCGCTCGCGGCCTCTACTGACGACCCTCACGACGTTGCTCGTCGCGCTGTCCTGCTGCTGCGCTCGCGCTAGCGAATTCCCCGATCGGGAATGCTGCGACCCACCCTACCCGATCCCGGAGCCCACCGGCAGGTCCACGTCCGCGCCGACGCCGACCGGAAGAAGCGGTAAGTTGTCCGTCAGAAATAGGGTCGACGTTAAAAAAGAGATGTTACTTGAACTGGGATTACCGTATAAATCATTCGTTTATTTTAATTTAGCAGTTACATATACTGATTCTTACTCAAACAATACTGGAAACTTTCCAAAAAAAATAATATCTGGCATATTAATATGCCTTTTAGAGATCTTTAATTAAAGTTATAAAATAATACTAATTTAATAAAGCGTCGCACTGCTGAAACAGCGTCACGGAAATTTATTTTGTAACATATAATGCGTTCTCTAAAATTATTACAAATGCAAACATGAATCTGAAAAAAAGATTAATGAAAATTCGCGCAAAAAGATTTGCGCATTTGACATTTGCTGTAAAATTATTCATAAATAGAAAAAAGCTGAAAAAGATTACGCGTGTTGGTATTAACAATGCAGTCTATTAATTGTAATCTGCATCCATAAGATATGGCGAATTTTGATTTTTAATGAGATATTGGAGGAATATAAACCGGGTCACGAACGCGAAAATCTGCATTCATGCAATTCGCACACAACGCCGGTTATTAGTGGAACAATGAAATAATATTCTGGTACTAATAGCAGTGAGCCGGAAAATAAATTCCAATCTAATTACAGTGGTGCTATGGCTAACCGTGGCAGAAATACGTTTTCATTAGTACTTTTCTGAAATTAAATAATACACGATATTGACACGAAATATATTTTCACAGCGTTGTTTTAATCGTGCGATATTTTAGATTTACATTCAGTAGTGTGACGGCTTGTAAAATCATTCATGATCCGACGCAAAACCAAGTTCAAAGTACAAGAAGATAAAATCGGACTTAGTTAAATGCAATTTGTTAAGGATGTGTAAATAAATTTAGATTTATTTTTAAACATAATTGTATATAAATGGGAAGTAAAAAATTCCAACAGTACGGACGTTTCCGAAAGTTACGGTCTAAATGTCTTGTAACTTGCTTTATGCTCATAACTGATCGATATCTTTAAAAACATTGATTTCCTTTGCCATATATATATAATAGACTATTCCATTTGCGTGGAACTGACAGGAGAGGGGAGACAGGCTCCAATAATTGAACGGGAACCAATAACTATAGATATGCCCAAGCCACGTTCTACTAACCGCAGCTACTGGATACTGCGATTCGCCCGTTCGCGGATGAGCGGATCATTAATTCGGTTACAAGGGGTTATTAATTTAACAATGCGTAGCCAACTCAAGTTCGCCGCATTATGAATTTAATGGTCAATCCGATATCATCATAACTTGCGTGTCTTTAACCCATCGGGAGTAATAAGGAAAAAATATTCCTGCAACAAAATATTATCATATAGAATTATATTATTCTATACATAATTGACAATGTTTATTAAGTTCGTAAAACATAGAAATAGTAAGTTTATATTTTCAAGAAAAATGCTTGAGAAATTCTGTAGTCCAAATAAACAAGTCGTTAATTTCCTGATTGCATCATCATTAAATAATAGCTAAATTGGACAGCAGGTTTGCTCGTAGAAACCTATACAAAACTGTACAAGAGAAGGATTCATTGATGAAAAAGAATCTCAGTTATTCACAGAGTTAACAAGCAGCTTTTTTAAATAAAACTTATTAGTAATTTTTTTTTTGTTAATCATACAGCAAATGTAGATATGCGAACTTTGATAAATAACTAACATTAAGAATCTATAGCGTGCTTTTAAACGCATTGATTTGCTATGATCGCCGGCTTTAAGCTGCGACTCGTGACTTTCTCGAATGAACTCGAACCTTATAGTCGCGTCGCATCGTCGTCGGTGTATAAAGTAAGTAACGAGAGAAGTTACCGCGTAATTGGTCGCATTATTTGTGTCTGTGTGAGCACTCGGGCTTCGTACTCGGATGAACTTCGATTGAGGTCGCGCGCTCGATCGAAGGTTATCTACGCTCTTGCTAAAGTAGCGGCGTAAGTTCAGGCAGGATGGGAGTCGTTCATATCCCTTGTGGAATTTCTCATGTGGCAACCCATCGCCTACATGGTCATAGAGAGCGTTAATGATGAAAGACGATCAACATGATTCGCTTTATTCGCCGATCTATATTAGATGTCCCTAAATTGTTCTCAGTTCTAGATTCCAGTTATAAGTATCTATCTGTGAGTTGTTATAAATAGCTCTTCCGAGCTAAATAAAAATCTGTTGAAAGATTATTGATCGTAGCTATTGGATTTTTAAGTATTTTTGTGTCTGATTCTTCACTTTCGCCATTTTCAATCGTAAACATATTTCATTTCTTTCACATTATGGTAATAGTTTTAGAGAATTATTCGATATTGTCGATACAGTTTATATATTTGTATGTTAAGAGAATTATCAGATTTATCAGATATTCTGTACGTACATAGCTATGCTAGTATGTTGATGAAAAACTTATTCAAGCGTAATTTTCACTGCGTTACGCTCAAATCTAATTATTCTCGCATATTCACCATTTAAACTGGTCCATATTTATTTTATTTTATCGTCGGCGTTCAATGCTAATTCTTTATTTTCATACAATCATGCATATCAAATATTTTTCTGATGCAGTAGGATGTGAAAATTTTTAATATTTATTTAAAAGAGGATATTAAATTTAAAAAGAGAATATTTGTCACATTTTGTTTTTATCATTTTAAAAATACGATATATTGTTATTGTCAACCGACTGAATGAAAAACAATCAAGTAATAAGTATAATATATAAATTTAGTAGTTAATAATATATAAATTTAAGCTATTTTTGAAAACTTATTTAAAAAATAAGCCAAGATGTAATAAAGAAATTTTAAAATTATTTACGAGTACTCAATTCCATTAAAACAATAATTTATTTATACAGGGTGATTCAAAATAACCTGATGTCCTTGCAATGCCATATTCTTGAGCGAATTCTGAGACAATTTTTCCTTTTACAAAATTTTGTCCAAAGCTTAGTTTTCGAGTTATAATTGAAAATAGATAGCAACTTACGAGTTCGGTACAACGGGCAGGCAGGGACGCGCAACGTATAATGAGACTGTCAAGTGTTTACTATCGTCTCATGACACATTACACCGTCCCTGTCTGTCCGTTGTATCGGA